TGATTGATGATGATTGATGATGGATGATGATTGATTGATGGTGATTGATTGCTGATGATTAGCGATGATTGATGATGATTACTGATGTCTGATGATAACTGGTGATGACTGGTGATGATTGTTTGATAACGACTAATGATGATTGATGATGATTGACGATGTTTCATGATGTTTGATGATGATTGGTTGATGGTGACTGATGCTTATTGATAATGACTGATTGATGATGATTTATGATGATGGATTGATGATGATTCATTGATGATGAATAATGATCATTGATGATGATTGATGATTTATCATTAATGGTGTTGATTGATGATGATTGCTGATGGTTGATGATGATGGATGTTGATTGATGATGATTGATCATGATTGATTGATGACGAATAATGGTGATTGATGATTAATGATGAATGGTGATGATTGATGATGATTCCTCATGATTGATGATGTTTCTTGTTGATTGATGATTTTTGATGATGATTGATGATTACTGATGATCATTGATGACTGATTGCTGATTGATGATGATTAATGATGATTGATGATGATTGATGATGATTGATGATGTTTGATGATGATTGATGATTGATGTTGATTGATGGTGATTGATGATTGGTCATGATTGATGATGATTGATGATTGATGATGACTGGTTGACGGTCGTTGATTGGTGATGAACAATGATGATTGATGATGTTTGATGATGACTGCTAATGATGGTTGATGATGATTGATTAATAATGATTAATGATGATTTATGATGACTGATGCTGATTGATCGTCATTGATGGTGATTGATTGATGATAATTGATGATGTTTGATAAAGATTGATTCATGATAATTGGAGACGATTGATGATGATTGATTGTTGGTAATTGATGATGATGACTGTTGGTGATTGTTCATGATTGATGATTGATGATGATTGATAATGATTGATTGATGATGATTTATGATGATTGATGATGATTTATGATGACGGGTTGTTGATGAATGATTGATGATGAACAATGATGATTGATGATGATTGATAATGGTTGACTGATGATGATTGCTGATGATTCCTGATGATTGATGATGGGTAATGATGATTGATGATGTTTGGTGATGATTGATTGATGATGATTTATGATGATTGATGATGATTGATTGATGGTGATTGATTGATGATCATTGATGATGACTGAATGATGATGATTCATGAAGATGGATGATGACTCATGATGATGATTGATGATGATTGATTGATGGTGATTCATGATGATTGATAATGGTTGACTGATGATGATTGCTGATGATTCCTGATGATTGATGATGGGTAATGATGATTGATGATGTTTGGTGATGATTGATTGATGATGATTGGTGATGATTGATGATGATTGACGATGAATGATTGATGATGATTCGTGATGATTGCTGACGATTGATGATTGATGATGATTGGTGATGATTAATTGTTGATGATTGATGATGATGACTGATGATGATTGATTGATGATTGATGAAGATTGATTGATGATGATTGCTGATGATTGATGGTGATTG